CCCCAAAACCCCAAAACCCCAAAACCCCGCCGGATAAATAAAGTTGTTAGTTAATGAGTGCTTATTTAATTTGAATTAAATTGAAATCAAGAACATATTAAGTTAAAGGTGTTGAGACTCTCATCCTGTTGCTTCTTCAGATGAGACATTTCCTTAAATTTTTTAGTCTTTTTATTTACTTTTAAAGTACAATATCTTCGCAATCCCATATCTAAATACATGTAATGAACGTCTTCTTTCACAAATGAAAGCGCAATCATTTGACCGTCTTCACCGCCCACAAATATAAGTCTAGTAGGCTCACAACTGATGCAAGAGATTCTGGCTCCACTTTTAAACTTGCCACCATAAATGCCATCAAAGACCTAACGCTAGTCAAAGACATTAAAGCTTGGGAATTCCAAAGAGAAGAGCATTCCACTTTCTAATCCCAGCAGTACATATCCATTATCATAGGGACCATAAGACATGCAAGTAATCTTAGGCAGTATAGGTAGGAACTTCAAAGCTTCAATGGTCTGCTTCTAGATATTAAAGAGCATAATGAACTGTTTAACTTAGGTCTGTTTCTTGTAAATACCCATCTACTTGGCTTCAAATGGCATTTGAACAGTGCCTACAATTATTATCTTTACAATCTACTGAGAGAACTCAGGCTTGTTTGTGATTCTATTTGACCATTATAGTAATGGAAACTTAATGAACCTTAGCTTCAGAAGTTTCAAGTTTTCTTCCCTCTCAAGTATCTCGTCAATCTTAATTCTCTATAAAATACCTCCATTAATTTGAAGGATATCAAGATGAGGCAATTTCTTATATATTACGTAGAGCTTATCATCATGATATTCTACGCACTTAGGTATCTTTGTTGTAGGCAATTAGGATGTGTTACTCACGCCCTGCTGGACTTTGCTAGGACTGGTATTTTTCTAAACATAGGGCTGCTATAGCACCATAATCTCCTGGTTTTGGTTAGAAAGACTGCTGAAACTCTATTTACTGGTGCTTTAGTTGTTGCTCTAGTTGTTATAGATACGAGTTTGACCTGGGGTTTTTGGGCTTTTATCATTTCCTCGGCCGATTGATACTGAGTTTTGCCCAGCCTTTATCTGCTATCTGATGTTAAAGCAGAACAGTTGATTCTTAAGGTTAGATGTGAACATCAATTTTCTTCTCAGATCTTTGTTGAAGTAGCAAATCTTGGTGAAGCCATCATTTATAATTTATTCTTAGAAATCAAAGATTTCGTATATTTTCTAGTCTTTAAAACTGAATGACTGACTACTTTTATTTGAAGGCAATCCGTGACTAGCATACATACCATGGTAATCCTGTCCATCTTATGAACTTAGGAAGCTACCGCTATCATTTTGATGCTATTCTCCAGTCACCTTGATATCGATGGTCATTTAATTTGAATTGCTGCTTATGAATGACGTATTGTTATGTGCTTGAGTTTTCTGAGTATTGGTAATGAGATCAGGGTAATAACTCTTCTCATTTCCTAGAATTCTATCAGCTTTTTACTCATCTAATGAATAGAAATAGTTGTGATTTTACATTCTGGGTTTCTATACATGAGGGCTGTTCATGTCCTTCTCAATAATTCTGAGTAGATTTATCTTCTGTTCAAATTCTCTCTTCAAGTCTTGGAATTTGTTTGCGCTCTCAGTTTTGATATTCAAGACTCTGGAGATAGTTTTTTGCTATGAGAAATCGTAAGTAATGAGTAGCACGTTCGAGGGATTTTCATCATCAAGAAAATGAATCATTTAAATTTCCTCTTCTTCGTCTATTTCCATACTCATTAACTCATGTGGCTCGTCATTCAAGTCATAAGCAATTATAGCGAAAGCAGACTTCGAGCCAATCAGCACTCTTTTTCTGTCAAACTCGAATTTGTTTCGGAACCCTAGGAATTTCCTCTAAGAAAAGCTGATAAAGAGTACAGGTGAATCGAGATAATACTGAAATATTTCAATTAGTTTGCTCTAGTGATTCTGCTACTAGCCATTAATGAGTCCTCTTTCTTTATAGGACTCAGCTAAGCTAGCCTATTAAGACTCCTTCATATGAAATTTGATATGATTGGTTTTCAGGCCGCTACTCTTTATGGTAAGAGGTGGCTCGTTATCATAGTTGCTCGTACAACACAATTTTGCGCCCATTTAATTTTTGACAAATACTTACTTATCAAAGTTAATAAATATATGCTAATAAGTAGGCCTAAGTTTGATCAAATAAAATGAATTATTAATAACATGCTTTCCTTTTTACTAATCAATAACGATATTGAGGGGTTTTGGGGTTTTGGGGTTTTGGGGTTTCGGTATCTGTCAT